TGCGGGAAGATGGTAGGAGGGAGGGGTTACTATATTGGGCAAAAAAGGCCGCCCCCGGGCCCCCAGGTTGGGACAAAAATTACATTTCTGTTTTTTTTTTTACTGATTAACTCTAAATTCATTAAATCATCGCAAACTTATTTTATATTTAGGTATATATAATAATACATTTTTCTTTTCCTTTAAGGTGATTTATTTGTTTTTGGAGCATATATGGTATTAACTAAAACCTAACTAAAAACATAAGCATAGGACCCTTGCACAGACGTTTGGTAGAACAACATGAGCTGATTCTCAGTTTGGGTCTAAATATCAGCACACAAGTGACAGAGGATTCCCTAGTCTGGTGGTGAGTGTTTTATTTCTTCTCTGGCTTGTTTGCTTGGTTTCCCCCTCCAGTGTTTTACTTAACAAGAGCCTTTAGAATTCCACTCATGTGGTCACTAAAGCCCGAGTCATAAAGATGGCTGCATGCACAGTCCAAGGCACAGCAATGTGCTCTGATCATTGTGTCTTTCCTAGTGTGCCGAAGCTCGTAGCAGCCAAACTGTGTCGGGACTATTAATTTCAGTTTGACTCATTGTTTTGATAGGAGATTTGCTGACAGGTTTATGAGGTAACTCTGACTTGGACTGTCTGTGGCACATTTTGATGCTTTTATGCAAGGCTGCCAATAAAAAGCCTCTGAGAACTCTCAAACACTTTTCTCCTGCTGACAGCTGGATAAGCCTTGGATGTGCCTTAGGTTTTTCAGTAGGTCCTTATTACTTCGTCATCGATTTAGTGTTTCTCAGTGTTATAAAGTGACTTTGTCTTGCTTTTATTATGTAAGGAAGTCAAAACAGATTTTAAATCATCCAAAAAGTCTAGAGATGTCTCATTTGTGATGTCCAATTTTTTTTAAAGCTTCATCAAACCAATATCGTCTTTAGCTAATTCTAATTCAATTTTAATATTTATTATTTTAAAAACATTCAAATAGAAAGGAGGAAAGAGTGAAAACAAGGTTAAGATTTGGTCATACAGGACTTAATTATACACTTTTTAAAATACAAAAACGGGCAAATGTGATTTCTGTGATAAATATGAAACTATAGAACATGTTATATTAGAATGTCATAAATATGAAA